TGGCTCGGGCAGAGCTGACTGCCCAGCACATGTTGGTGTGGCGCCCCCTCGTGCCTCCCCGCTCTGCCGCTGCATGGCTGGCACTGTGGGGGCCTGACCCTCCGCACAGCTCTGTCCCCTGCTCCACCCAGGGCCCTGGTGAAGGTTCGGGGGACACGCCCCTTCGTCATCTCCCGCTCCACCTTCGCCGGCCACGGCCAATACGCCGGCCACTGGACAGGGGACGTGTGGAGCAGCTGGGAGCAGCTGTCCTCGTCGGTGCCGGGTGAGAGCCCCGTCGGGGTGTGGGCCCCTCGGGAGGAGCAGCCAGAGCTGGGAGCTGGGCCAGCACAGCTCAGGGACACCAGCTGCAGTGGCGGGGGCATCGCTGAGTCATGCGGGGCGCGGGGCCCAATCAGTACCTGCTCACCTGTGCGGGCGGCTCCCCTGCGGCCCTCCTCTTCCCGGGGTCCCCATCCCCACTCACTCCTTCCCGGAGCTGGTGGCCTGCGTCACTCTGGCCCGTGTCATCTCGTGGTTTTCCCCATGTGTCTGTCTGCTAGGGCCCCAGCCATATGGGATCAGGGCCTCACGCCTCATTTTAACTTGACCGCCTCTGCCAAGACCCTATTTCCGAATAAGGTCCCATTCACAGGACTGGGGGTTCGGACTGGAATGTGATCTTTGGGGGGACACCATTCAACCCTAACAGGCTAGTTTGCTGTGCCCACCCCTGCCCAGGTGTTAGGGAGCAGCCTGCAGGCAGGTAGATTGACCTTCTGCTGACCCCGATGAGGCAGGACTGACCAGGGAGTGCGGGAGGGGTGTGGTCTGAGGCCCTGCCTGACCCCCCTGCAGAAACCCTGCTCTTCAACCTGCTGGGGGTGCCCCTGGTGGGGGCCGACGTCTGCGGCTTCCTGGGCAACACGTCGGAGGAGCTGTGCGTGCGCTGGACACAGCTGGGGGCCTTCTACCCCTTCATGCGGAACCACAACGACCTGCACAGCCTGGTAGGGGGGCGGCTCCATCCCGGGACCCGACCCTGACCGGCAGCAAGCAGGCGGCCGAGCGGCCCCTTCATGCACCACAACGACCTGCACAGCCTGGTAGGGGGGCGGCTCCATCCCGGGACCCGACCCTGACCGGCAGCAAGCAGGCGGCCGCCGAG